CACAAAACCCTTAAAATAATTTGAATTGAAATTGAGAGAGGGGTAGAGATAGAAAGAGAGAGAGCTGGGAACTGTGACCTTTGGCTTGGCAGCACGGCAACGGGCAACGCCCCTCCCACTCTAATACCGCTCTATCTGAGCTTCTGCAGGGAGTGTTCAAATTATCTGAGTAATGGCTTTGGAGATTGTATTCCGTTTGCTTGCTGTCCATTTGATCAAACACATTTTATGTTTATGTGATTTATAGGAGGGAAGAAAAAATTTAACCCACAAAAAAAAGGGAAGAGCAAGATAGAGAAAATGGACAGGGAGAAAGAGAAAAAGACCAAAACAACGTATCCACCAAGAGCAAGAGGAAGATTTACACTGTAGAATACATGGATAATCCCAGTGTTGGTTTCCAAATTCCTAAACTCTTCCAGCTTTGTTCTACAGCATTTTGTGTTCATTCCAGAATCACTGTGTGAAGCTTCCGGAATCATTGTGTGAAGATTCCAAAATCATTGTGTGAAGCTTCCGGAATCATTGTGTGAAGCTTCTGGAATCATTGTGTGACGTTTCTGGAATCATTGTGTGAAGCTTCTGGAATCAAGGCCAATTCCAGAACATTTCCTCTTTTATTTCTGGTACCCTTGAAATGAGACTGTTAGAAACAACACAAAGAGGAAAGAAAACCACAAACTCAAAAAAACACCACATCTACAGTGAGTGAGCATTGTCCCACCAAATGGGTTTCCTGTTAATTCCCTAATGTCTTGAAATGATGGTTAATAAAGAAAATATATTTTTCTGAAAGTAAAAAGTTAACACAAATTATATATTATACATAATACATAATCTCGGAAACCCAGAACTAAAATGTTGTGTAACTGCGTCAGCTATACAGTTATTTATGTTACTTACATCTGTCCATGAGAGATAATAACATACAACTACCATGTGCAGTGAATCTTTTAAGGTGTAGATTTTAGCGAAGGTTTTTTTTCCCTATCGTTAAGCACTAAATGGTTTAGCTAAAATAATAGCTGAAGCAGTTGAGAAAGCTAGTTAGCTAGTTAGCACTTTCACTTGAAAATGTTTTCACACAGGCACACAGTGTGTTCTTGAGGGGCGCCAAGCAAAGCATTCGAATCATGTTAATCGCGTGACAAGGTGAAGGAAGGCACCAATGGGATGTCTATTTCAAGATTGTCATAAATCAGTGATGTTCAGGGGCATAGTTTAACATCTCGTGTTTGTCTGTGACAGGTTCATAACGTTCATTGATTGTCATCGGCTTCATATTTGCAGAGATAAAATAAATGAACTGGCATATGCGAACAAGATATCAGCATCTAAAAAAATACAAATTCTTTACTAAATGTCAGAGTGGGGCTTTCTGTTAAATGCAAATTGACCTAATAAATATTTGTTTTAAAAATGTCATTCTCTGGATATGTGCAATAATATCAAGAATGTCAATTCTCACAATAGGCATACTTCTGAACCTTCATTATGCGTCTGATGAACCTACAAATCTATTTAAAAACATAATCATAAATTATTATGATGACAATCCCAAAATAGGCAACACTTTAAAGTGAAAGTGGCCATAGTGAGATCTTTCTTTAATAGTTAGGGGTCAGCAGAGGTGAGTCTTCATGCGAACTAAAGAAAAGAACAAATGAACATACCCACTGTTCATGGTCAGCTTTCTAGCAGCGTTAAACAAAGATACAGATGAAAAACAATATTACACGGAGTTATAGAAGTCAAATATGCCTAAAAGCCTAAAAGATATCGATCTAAAGACTGAGCATGAGTCTCCATTTTATTTTCATAATATGGGGTGAATTAACAAAAATAATAGAAGATGTCGTGTGTTTCCAGGATCCCGATTAAGCCTCGATCTCCATTGCAAGTGCTTTTTAGTCCAGGGCTAGGCTGAAGTACTCGTCTCTGATACTGAGGTGCCAGGCGATCTGTGGTTATCACCTTATCACCTCAACAAAACAGAAATTCCTTTCACGGCAGTAATGGATGCAAACTTGACACTGATCTGATCGTCTGGCACCCCAGGAGCAGTGAGGAGAGGGCAGCTGGCTAAGCTAACTGCAAGCAATTCAATTCTAATGTGTTCAGTTATCGATTCAATAGCTCTCATAACTTAGTTGACATCTTTTCATAAAGATGCAGCCCATTAAGTGTTTTATTGCAGTGGGGGACACTGGGGCACTCATAAGTATCTAAGTATCTATCTCCCTATTCATGATTACTTACCACTGCTCATCAATAAGAATGCCAGTGGTACTAAAGCTGAGGGAGGGAGGGAGGGAGGGTACACTCTCTTTGCTCAGGACATGTAAATCAAGTGGGCAGAACAGAGAAATGGAAGCAGGGAGAAGACTGTCTGGATGCTCTCCCCCTAGATACAGCTTCTACGGTAGTGTCCTCTCTAGCTGTGTGCATTTACATAACTGCTCTCCCCCTAGACAGTAGCTAGCTGTGGATAATGAAGGCCCAGTGCCCACTCCATGTCAGACGCAGACCCAGCCACAGAGAAATAGCCTGTGATTGCCTTGCTTTAAGTTCAGCGCATTCAGGAAGTATTCAGACCCCTTGACTTTTTCCACATTTTGTTACGTTACAGCCTTATTCTAAAATGGATAAAAATTGTTTTCCCCCTTCATCAATCTACAGACAATACCCCATAATGACAAAGCACACCTGTATTTGGGTAGTTTCTCCCATTCTTCTCTGCAGATCCTCTCAAGCTCTGTCAGGTTGGATGGGGAGCGTTGCTGCACAGCTATTTTCAGGTCTCTCCAGAGATGTTCGATCGGATTCAAGTTGTCTTGGCTGTGTGCTGAGGGTTGTTGTCCTGTTGTAAGGTTAACCTTTGCCCCAGTCTGAGGTCCTGAGCGCTCTGGAGCAGGTTTTCATCAAGGATCTCTGTACTTTGCTCCGTTCATCTTTGCCTCGATCCTGACTAGTCTCCCAGTCCCTGCCGCTACAAACATACCCACAGCATGATTCTGCCACCACCATGCTTCACCGTAGGGATGGTGCCAGGTTTCCTCTAGACATGACGCTTGGCATTCAGGCCAAAGAGTTAAATCTTGGTTTCATCAGACCAGATAATCTTGTTTCTCATGGTCTGAGAGTCTTTAGCTGCCTTTTGGCAAACTCCAAGCGGGCTGTCATGTGTCTTTTACTGAGGAGTGGCTTCCGTCTGGACACTCTACCATAAAGGCCTGATTGGTGGAGTGCTGCAGAGATGGTTGTCCTTCTGGAAAGTTCTCCCATCTCCACAGAGGAACTCTAGATCTCTGTCAGAGTGTCCATCGGGTTTTTGGTTACCTCCCTGACCAAGGCCCTTCTCCCCCAATTTCTCAGTTTGGCTGGGCGGCCAGCTCTAGGAAGAGTCTTGGTGGTTCCAAACTTCTTCCATTTAAGAATGATGGTGGCGACTATGTTCTTGGGGACCTATAATGCTGCAGACATTTTTTGGTACCTTTCCCCGGATCTGTGCCTCGACACAATCCTGTCTCTGAGCTCTACGGACCATTCCTTACACCTAATGGCTTGGTTTTTGCTCTGACATGCACTGTCAACTGTGGGGCCTTATATAGACATGTATGTGCCTTTCCAAATCATGTCCAATCAATTTAATTTACCACAGTTGGACTCCAATCAAGTAGTAGAAACATCTCAAGGATGATCAATGGAAACAGGATGCACCTGAGCTCAATTTCGAGTCTCATAGCGAAGGGTCTGAATACTTATGTAAATAAGGTATTTCTGTTTTTTATTTTTAATAAATGTGCCAAAAATCAAAAAAACCTGTTTTCACTTTGTCATTATGGGGTATTGTGTGTAGATTGCTGAGGATTTGTATTTATTTAATCCATTTTAGAATAAGGCTGTAACGTAACAACATTTGGAAAAAGTCAAGGGGTCTGAATACTTCCTGAATGCGCTGTACTTAAAGCAAGGCAATCACAGGCTATTTCTCTGTGGCTCGGTCTGCGTCTGACATGGAGTGGGCACTGGGCCTTCATTATCCACAGCTAGCTACTGTCTAGGGGGAGAGCAGTTATGTAAATGCACACAGCTAGAGAGGACACAACCGTAGAAGCAGTATCTTCAAGGCTTATCTTGAAGTTAAACAAGGAGAAAATATACATTTTATTATTATCCTCTCACGTTGATCTCTTATTGAATACATTCTTTCTATGATGAATCGTATTGATCTCTTATTGAATACATTATTTATTTAATTAATCTTCTTGGCATATATTCTTTAACCAGAATCCATGAGTCAGCAATTGTCAATGTCTTATTCTCCATCCTTCATAGCAACAGGATTTGTTTGAGATGATTTACACTGAGACACAGTGGTATGAAACACCATAAATACTCTACAATATCCAACTATGTAAGAAGCTTTCAAATACTCCATGAACCGTGAAAGTTTTTCACCTATGTCTTTGACCAAGGTCTGATGTTTACCGATGATACAATGATAATGTATACAGGTAATGCTGGTATAATGTGTAGGTTATAGAGTGATTATGTATACAGGTAATGCAGGAATAATGTGTAGGTTATAGAGTGATTATGTATACAGGTAATGGAGATGTATGCCGTTTTACGGGATCCTAACCAATTGTGCTATTGTGTGTGTTTTTTCATGTTATTTGTAACTTATTTTGTACATAATGTTTCTGCCACCGTCTCTTATGTCCGAAAAGAGCTTCTGGATATCAGAACAGCGATTCATCACCTCGTACTAGACAAAGATTTTTTCTTTAACGAGTCGGACGCGAAGGATTTTCTTCAGACAATGACAAGGCCCAAATCCCTGTCATTC